TGTTTGGTCGCCCACAGCTATTTATTTCATATATACCGAGAGGGATAATCATGATTTTGCAGCCCAAGGGCCTCGTTCTCCTACCTCTTATTCACTTGATGTACCTCCCTGCCCTCCTCCTTCCCCGTCTTCTCTCAAGGAGTGGCCAAATGCAACCACTTCTAGCATTTTTGAAGGCTTTATTGAGTACTGAGTTCACGCTATTCTTCCACCCCCTTTTCCTCCTCTCACTAAGATGAAATAGTTGTGGAATCGTTTAGTGCAGAGGGTCCAGGGCTTATCTCGGAGTGCCGGTGGTATAGCGGGTTACATGTTGGGCTGCCAACTGCAAGGTCAGCAGTCTACTCTGTCCACTGGTTGCTTTGAGTCCGAATGGACTCGGTGGCAGTGAGTTGGAAGGCTTATCTGTTTCCATTGCGTGCACTGTCTCACAAGCCGTTCTTCAGCACCCGTGCCTGGCTCCCACTTAGGGCTGGCTGGGTCAGGGGGTTGCTTTACATTGTCTTTTTTTTTTTGCTGCCTTGGGATAACAAAGAAAGAAAACCGTTCATTCAGACCACCACGGGGATTCTGGCTCCATTTGTTCCTTGAATCTAGGTGTGGGGAGGGGTTGGTGTGCAGGCTGAGGGAGGAGGCGAGGAGATTGGAAGTTTGCTGCTTGGGTCTCAAGTGAAGCGAGAAGGTGTTGCATTCGACTCCCTTCTGCGCCCTCGACTAAAGTGACTGCTGTGGTTATTGGGCTCTGTTGGACTGCGGAGATACGGAGGAATGGTAGAATGTGAATGAGGCTATGAAAGTATCCTCAACTGAACTACTGTACCAGTTAAGTCCAAGTGTTGCCAAGAAATGTGTTATGGAAAGTAATATTGTCATTAACATAGTTTTTATTTAGCAAAGACAGTGGCTTGGCTGCTACTGTTTAAATTGGCTTCAGCTATTCATCTGTTTATTCGGATATTGTCATGCTGCAAGTCCATAGGGAAGCTGATCAGGAAATCTGCCTTATAAGAGAGAAGCTGTTAGACATTCCCTAGGAAGTAGCCATTTGCTGCTTTGATCCTTGTTTACTATATTTGCAGAGCAAGCTACCTAATTAATGTCTATAAGGTAGCAAGTATTTGTTCCTTTATTGAGAGCAGAATTATGATTAATCCATTCAATGCTTACTCTAATCCTTGTGCTTTTTAAACAAACGGATTTACAATCAGGTCTTGAAGGTGCAAATGCGCCGTTGGGAGCTCTTCTGCCTTGTTCTCCGCAGAACTTCCTTTGCTTGCTTTTTAGCAAGTTCGGGCTTAATTAGTCCCTCCACCAAAAAGGGAAAGGGCCAGCTACTGAATTTAAAAATCCCTCTGCTTCAATCTTAGCCAGGCAGTTCTCTACAATAGATTCAATTAACAGGAGAGGATCTTGAAACTACTGATTAAACTTCGTGTATCAGTGCCTTATACGTAGCGAAGCTCTCCAATTCCTGTCCCTTGGGTCATGAAAATGGAGTATATGGGGTATTGATTGCCTGGATTCCCAAGTAGGATTGACTAACTTAGGGGTAAACTTTCATCCATCATGGTAGTATGCAGACAAAAGAAAGAGTGGAAAGCAAACAGATGCTAGGGCCATGCACCAAGGAGGACAGCTCTCCAGGCCATGTCTTAGTGGGAAATCTACCACACGGAGAAGCAGGTCACTCTCCATCCACATCTCTCTGCACTTCTGGAAGCCTCGACACTGGGACACTCCCCAAGATGCTTTCCCCCAGGATGAGCTGCTGATGACTATCGCCACCACGTCCGTGTTCGGGGTGAAGTCTTGTATGTGCGTGATGCTTGAAGCATTACTTGTATTAAATATAGTAGTGTACAAGAAGTCCTGCTCATTCTCCCTGTGTTTGCATTTAGATCCCCAGGTATATCATCACACTTCACGAACTTCTAGCTCATACGCCCCATGAGCATGTGGAGAGGAAAAGTCTGGAGTTTGCCAAGTCAAAACTAGAGGAGCTGTCCAGGTATGTAGACTTGAACTGGAAAGAAGCTGAAAATATGAAGCAAGACACAAATTTAGCTTCTCAGATTCACCTTAAAGTTAAATATAGCATATTGAAATATATACCTATATGATTTAATAAAAGTACATATATTAAAGACTTAGGGATCTTCAGGAATATTTTTATAGCATGACACTGAGGTCAGGCATATTTGGATTTCCATTTTAAAATGTTCACCCTTTTTCTCAGCATAATAGAAAGAATTTTCCGTTGCATTTTTGTATTCATACTTGACAAAAACCTAGCAAATGTGCATTTTGGATTTATTGGTGAGTATTTTCAGTGTTTCTGTGCTTATTCACATTTGTGCCTCTTTAGCTTGTAAATGGTACAGAGCTCCACAATTTTCTCCCCCTTCAAGACATGGCATCCTAATTTCAACTAAAGGGCTGTCTTTTGTTTATAAGCAATATTCCCAGAGTAGTCATTGGTCTTCAACCCATTTGCCATGCTGAATCATTTTGTACATCGGCCTGCCTATGGCCATAATATGTTAAAGTGTGGAAGCCCAACCTGATTGCCCAACAGCCTCAGCCACACACCACGCATAGAAAGTTACATGTTCCCAACTGAGCTTCCCAGACCAAAACAAAACCCACTGCCATTGAGTCGAGTCGGACGCGTACTGACTCTAGAGCACAATGTAGACTCTGGCGGATGGCCCCTCTGTGTTTCTGAGACTGCTTCTTTCTGCCCCTCATCTTTCTCCTGTGGAGTGCTGGTGGGTTCAAACTATTGATTCTGTGTCTGGCAGCTCCGTGAGTAATACAGTACTCTACCAGGACTCCTTTGAGCTGCCAAGATAAAGCTTTTCAGTCCTGGTGACATAGTGGGTTCCATGCAGGGTTGCTAATCATAAGATCAGTAGTTCAAAACTACCCGTCACACCTTGGGAGAAAGGTGAGGCTTTCTATTCCCCTAAAGAGTTACAGTCTTAGAAACCCACAAGGGCAGCACCACTCTATCGCACAGGGTTGTTGCTATGAGTCAGAATGGATTCGATGGCAGTGAGTTTGAGAGGTGGGTATGGAGTCCATGGATGGCACCCATGGTGGAGTGCTCAGTTCCTTGCTAGTCAAAAGCCGGGGCTTGGAAGAGAGGCCTGGCATATGCTTCTGAAAGGCCATGGAGTTTTGCAAGCCCCACCGAGCAGTCCTACTCCATAGCACGTGAGTTCACCAGGAGTTAGTATAGACTGGGAAGCAACTAACAATAAGGGCTGCTGTGACCAATAGCCCAGCCTGCATAGCCTTTCAAAACAGATATTAATTCTCTTACAATTCTAATGGCAGAAGTCCAAATGGACATAGCAGCTGGGCCACACTCCCTCTGGAATCTCTGGAACAGCAGTTCTTAACCTGTGGGTTGTGACCCCTTTGAGGGTCAAATGACCCTTTCATAGGGATGACTCGATTCATAACAGTAGCAAAATTACAGTTAAGAAGTAGCAACAAAAATAATGTTATGGTTGGGGATTCACCACAACCCGAGGAACTGTGTTAAAAGGCTGCGGCATTAGGAAGATTGAGAACCACTGCTCTAGAAGAAGCCCCTTTGCATCTCTTCAGCGTCTGGTAGTTCCAGGCATCCATTGGCTCTTTGTGGCATCTTTGTATGACCCTCCTCCCCGTTTCTCTGTGTGTCTTCTCTTTTATAAGGACTCTGAGATTGCACTGCTCTGGGATGACCGCACATCAACCGATACCATTGTCAACGACCCTATTTCCAAACTATGCCACGTGTGCTACTCTGCAGGGTTCACAGCTCAGCCTGTGACTCCAGCTTTCTTTGCTCACGTCCTGCACAAGCACAGACGAGACCTCTTACTGCGCTTCTCTTGTGTCTGACAGGGTGATGCATGATGAAGTGAGCGACACGGAAAACATACGGAAAAACCTCGCCATCGAAAGGATGATCGTGGAGGGCTGTGATATTCTGCTGGACACCAGCCAGACCTTCATCCGCCAAGGTAAGTCGTTGCTCCGTGGACCAGTGATGTGAGCGAGCCTGTGGCTGTCCCAGCATCACTGACCGGTCCAGGAAGGCCTTTTGGAGCCGGCTTAGTTTCGCTGTGTCGTTGGTGCCGTTCCTGCAGGACACCCTGCCGTGGCCTTGACTGAGGCTGTGGTTGAGGCCCACCTTTGTACTGTTTCTTTTCAGGGGCCATGAAAAACAGCAACACAATAATAGTAAAGCGCGAGTGGGACAGTAACTTACATTCTGACTGGACTCTCCTCCTCACTGGACCGGACATTCTCTACAGCTCCAAGGAGGACAGGTCGGGCTGGCCGATTGGAGTGGCAGTGCCAGGTGGCGACGACATCCAGGCAAAGGCCCGAGAGAAACTTGCATTTCTCAAAACCCTGTCACATAGCAGTGGGGACAATGTCCGCAGCGAAAGCAGCTGCCTCTTGTTCCCCTTTTTCATCAGCACTTCTGGATCGGCCCCCCCAATATGATTTGATCAAACTGGTCACTCCAGTTAGCCTAAGGCCAAGCCTCACAGCTGGCCCCTTCTTGGTAGTGAAGGTATCATGTTTGCAAGGTGTGTTAGAGGACAATCGCCCAGGGCATGAAGCTTTCGAGCTCTAGAAAAGTTGGGGGTACTGGGGCCAGAACCTCTGGAGAAGCACCAGCGTAGGGGTGCATATTCCTATGGGACTCTTGTTCCAAAGAACAAGGAGGAGCCACGGCCCGAGCTCTGCTGCGTGCTTATGTTCTCGGGGGGAGTGTCCCACACTCCACGGAACTGACTGCATTGCACCCGCGGATGTATTCGCCTTTGTTGAGGAGGAAGCAGCACATGGATGTGGACCTGGAACCAACCTTTACTGGAGGAGTCAGGACGATTCAAGGGCAGTGAGTTTGAGTTTTGAGTGTGAGTTTCTGTTTCTTAGGTGCCGATGATCATTTGAAGATGTTTGCATCGCTGTTGCCTACCATCATGTGCCCCTTCTAATATTTCTTAGCTCATCAAACAAGACATTATTTATGTTGTGCACACCCAGTCCATTTTTGCACCGAATACTTAAAAAGTTCAACACATGCCATTCTATTTCCCGTTATTTATTTACATAGAGAGAAAACACACATGTTAATGTTTGGAAGGATATTTTTAGGAAATTATACCTTTTTTTTTCCATTTGGGGTTTCAGATATATTTTTCTCTCCATTATAGTGGAAAAGAATGTTTCGTTATCCCAAAACTCACAACCAAACTGACTGCCATTGCGTCAAACTGACTCACAGAGCCCCTCTCGGGCAGGGTGGAACCCGCCCCTGTGAGTTTCTGAGAGACCTGTCTCTCTCCGGTCTGCGTGGCTGCTGGGCTCATGGTGAGCAGCCCTGCGCAGGAGGGCTCCTTAAGTACAATAGGCCATCCATCACCGAGTCCTCGAGCCTCCGCTTGTGTGATTGCCTCTGTATTCCTCAGCACACACGATGTCCCTGTATCAGTAGCCTGTGGTCCTGCACTTGCCTGTTCTGTGCCTTTATCTGGGGTGTCTCCTGACCTGAGGGCGGGCCCTACGATGCTCTCATCCACTGGGTTCAGGCCTAAGGAAGCTCTGCTTATTCCACCAGGTTCAGGTCAGACACCACTAAGGAGCCTTTTAAAGTGTCCTCCTTATTGGCCCTCCCCTCCCCTCCAGTTAGAGCGGGTTTACCTTCCTCTTTGTTTCCAAGGCCCCCAACTCTGTGATACGCGAGTTTCGTCCTCTCGGGTACTACTGGTATTTGTTTGCATGCCAATTGCTCTGTGAACTGTGACCTCGGAAGGGCAGAGGCATGAATTCTCGCTGCCCCATCATGCCTAGTGTGATGCTTGCCATGTCATGATACTTGGAAAATGGGCATTGAACAAAATTGGACTGTATGTAGAATTGCAGTTACTGCTGTAAGATGTCCTATTTCCTGCTTACTGTCTTTAGGGAGATGGGTAGAAATGTCTCCTACTTGATTACATTTTATAATAGGAATGGAAATGAATGTTTTTATAACTGGTATAGATTTCTGATAGGACTTTTAATTGCAAAATATCATCATCTATAAACATTTAATACATTTCTGCAAGCTTTGGTTATGTTGGTCTCAGCATTTACAATGAAAAATGCTGGGGAGTCAAATATTTTGAATAAGACATATTTCTTTTTCATTGTGCCTGGAGGGGGAAAATAATCATGAGCTGCCTCTCCCCTTGATCCATGTTCATATGCTATTTATTCCTTGTTATGTGCCCTACATTTAAGACACTTTTGTCAACTATTAATATTCCTGGTGTTATTATTGTATTGATGTCAATGCAGTGATTTTCCATTCAGTAATGTCTTTCTATACTGCTGTTTACATTTGGTTTGTCTGTTTGGGAATTATTCAATAAAGATAGTTTCAAGAAAAATCAGCCCTTACCCTAAAAATGTAAAGTAAACCAATCAGACATGCTTTGGAAGTATTGTCACTATTTTTGCTTTGGTTCCTCCTCTTATAGCCTTTATGAGAGTATATTAAGCCCCACGGAGGTGATTTGTTATTCTTTTAAACATGGAGGCTCTGTGTTCTTGATGGAATGAACTAGGATTTCTCTCTGGCATGGTATGGTCCGTGCCATGTTCAAACAGAGACTGTGTCAGTGTGTATGAGGGTGTGCCTCTTTGTGTCACTGCATGCACATATGGGCATGATGTCAGCCTTCATGTACATTCTAGAAAGAATTCTGCTCTCTAGAAGTCTAGAAAGAAATGTGCCATCCTGGTCACCTGGAAATACCTCTTCAGAGTCAGGAATCAGCAGTTTGGAGTGCCATTCCATGGAGTTTAGTGACAGAAATAACACAAGTGTTCTTGTCAGCAGACCATCGGGACTAGGCCATGTGATGACCAAGATGCCAAGGAGTCTACCCTAGCAGTGGTCTAATATTGAGGACTTCCTGATTATTGCTCTCGCTTCCATTGAGCAGAGAGGAGCCTTTTCCTTATGTCTCATGGCTATGCTGAAACATCGAAGAAAATAAGAGGAAATGTGAAAAAAAAATGCAGCACTTAACATGGCTTTCCCAAATACGAGCATTTCATAAAGTAAACAAGTGTTTCCATTTCTCACTTTCAACTTGATTATTTAGATTTCTGTACGTCGCTAACATATTCAGTCTCCGATCAGGGAGAAAGATGGAGCTTTCTACTCTCACAAAGGGTTACAGCCTGGGAAACCCCCAGGGCAGTCCTTTCCTGCCAGTGGGGTCGCTGTGAGTAGGAGTGGACTGGACGGCAGTGACTTGGGTTTGGTTTTCCGTTGGATGTAATGTGGCCAGTTTTCTATTAAGCAAATCAGTATGTACGTTGCCAAGGAAACATAGTTTGACTTGAAGCTGAAATTCTGAGTAATCAATAAGATATGAACTAGCTGGATAGTCTGTAATTTCTGACTTAGAAAATCATTTAATTGTTAGAAGCATCTACCAACCAACACACTATTATTACCTTTCCATAGCGGTGGTTAGAGCCTTTCTTAAAATGCCTCCCAACCCCATTTGTCCACCAGGTCACTTGCCCAAAACCTAATCTGTCACCAGCCCTTAACTAATCTGCCTGGGAGACTTACAACCACCCTTGACAAAGTTAGACCTTAACTGCCTTTTCCCAAGGCTCAGCTTTGAGGTTGTTGTTGAAATCACTGCCTTCTGGCTGAGCCGCACCACTGGTGTGACCTTGGAAGTCTCCTAAGCCTATCCAGCTTCAGTGTCCCCATTTGTGAAAAGAGGGGCATGAACCAGGTCCCTTGAAAACCCTTCTCCAGCTTCGATTCCATCCCAGTGAGTCCCGAGGACAGTGCAATCCTTTGTCTGCCACTTCATGGGTCTGTTCTTGCGGAAACTTTCTGCCTTCTGCTTTCCCCACACCACCTGTGTGCTTCGCATGGCATTACTTTCTGTGTGAGCTCCCTGTCAGTTTGCTCCCACTGGCAGCACCTCCTTCCCTCGCTCTCCTCTTGCCCACTCCACTCCCTAGAACCAGCCTTCTCCTGTCCTTTTGTTCCTTTCTCCCACGCCTCCCCCGGCTGCCTCTTTGGGTCCAGGATAGCTGCCTACTTGGTGTCTGTCAAGCAGCCCCACTTAAGCACTCACCCAAGTAGATGGAATGGAATTAAATTTGGGATGGAAATTGAGGATGGAAACTTGGGTCCTTGTACCATGCTGCACATCGAGATCTTTGTTAAAAAATAGACACTCTTTGGGATGTTCCTGTGTTAATGTGTGGCTTTGTGACTCACAATCATATAGCCTTACTGTTTTATGTATATACGTTCTTTATATAAAGAACTTTAGTAGGGTTTTTCCAAGTATAGACGTCATCTGGGCTCATTAAAATAATCAGGTAACAAAAGAAAAGTATAAAAAACGAACATAATATTGCCCAGAATATCATTGTTTTTTAGTGCTGACAACTCCTAACACTTAAAGATTGAGTATACTTATAATGGTTCTTAGGAAGCTGAAAGGAGCCCTTGTACAACTGCGTAGGTGGCAGATTAAGAGAATATTAGCAGTATTGCTGGTTCAAGGCACTTCAAAGATCAGAGCCACGGAGTTGGCAGGAATCGTTTTAGTTCTTTATTTGACATTTAATTGATATTAGACTATCTTCTCTGTTGAAGGTTGATAATAGTGTAAAAACCTAAAAGCTATCAGAGATAGTCCCTCGTTTATTTAAAGTTTATACACAGCTTCTCCCTTTGAATGGAAGCTAGTTTTGTTCCCAGGAATGGTTTGTATATCTGTTTTACTTGGTTTGTTTGTTTTTTCATTTGGAATCCATAAAGAATTTTTATTATGTATAATTTAAAAATAACTTGCGAGAGTACCCTTTACAAATAGTCCCTAACTAAATTACAATGAATTGTAAAATCTATATATTTATAAAGTGCAAGTGTATTCTGTTTTTCTAAATAAAAAGATAAACTATATTAATATGCCACTTGTCTACCTTCAGTGTTTCAGAAAGAGTAAATTCTACTTGTTTGTAATTCTATTAATGTATCATGCCTCATAAATTATATACTATGTGCCTTATTTTAGGTAATTAATTTGACTAGTGACTTGTTCTTTGAATTCAGTTTGACATTTGTTTTTTCCAAACTTGTTTTCTCGATTCTAGATGGAGAATTGAGTCAGGTGTTTTGCCAGAAAGTAGAAACTAGTTTGACCATTCAAAAGCAACGTAATGTTCCTTCTGCTCAGAGTGCAGGGTTCACTTGTTTCTACTTGTTTCTACTGTGCATCAACTAAGCCCTTGTGTCTTGAGAAAGAGCTCCAGTGTTTATTACCTCGGCAATAACCTTCACTAATTGTTGTGTGTTCTTCACTTTTGTGACCACCAGGTTCTCTAATTCAAGTACCTTCCGTTGAGAGGGGGAAACTTAGTAAAGTGCGCCTGGGTTCATTGTCTTTGAAAAAGGAAGGAGAAAGACAATGCTTCTTATTTACAAAACACTTTTTAATTTGTACAAGAAGTTCAGGAGGAAAACTGCATCTGCTCAAGGTACTGGTTTTACATGATTATTCCATTTAGATTCTGTGCACTGAAGATGCATATAGGTTATTATCATGCCTGGTCTTATAAGATGGATAGCAACTTGGACACCTAAAAGTCTCTCCTGAGCTACAAAAAATCGTACAAATTACTACACGGCATTGATGTAACATTTGCTCAATACTATTTTGCTTTGCTCTACATGCCATTAAAAAAAAATCCCAACTCACTCCCATAGAGAAGATTTCAACTGACACTGACCCTGTAGGACAGGGAACACCTGCCCTAAGAGGTGTCCTAGACTGTTCTGTGCCGGGAGGCAGATAAGTAGAGTCTTTCCCAGGGAGATGCTGGGGGATTTGAACCACCTATTTTTTGGTTCACAGCTGCACCACCAGGGATCTTTTTTCTCTACATCATGCCTGACAAATTACAGTTCAAAGCCTGCTGCCTGTTTTGGTTCATAAAGTTTTATTGGAACAGAGCTGGGTTTATGCATTAATGTGTTGTCTGTAGCTGTTTTCAAGCCACAAAGGCAGAGTTAAATAGTTGCTGCCAAGTTTATATGGCTTGTAAAGCCAAAAATAGCTGCTATCTGGCCCTTTACAGGGAAAAAAAATGCTTATCTCATGTCTATAACTGTTGCAAAAATATCGATTATACTATCCATATCTTATTAATGCTGAAAAATATTCTCCAACTGCTGATGATGGTTTTCCTATTGCTTGAACCTTATCCCAGTTGGTAAGTTCCGTCCCTTTTCTGAGCTGCATTTCCTCACAAAGGTGCTTTTAGACTGCCCTGGAGGACTTACGATGCTTTACAAATATCAGGAGCCAGAGTAGGGTCAGGGAAAAGAATTGGGCAGTTAAATGAGTTTAATTCTTTTACACATGTAAGAGTCTCAAAAAATGTTTTCTGATGCAAAATTGTCCATCCCTCCCCCCAACCTGTGGCAACCTGAATATAAAGTTTATAAATCAGAACAAAATTATCCGTCCCTCCCCCCGACCTGTGGCAACCTGAATATAAAGTTTATAAATCAGAACGTCTCAATCTCTGCTTGACCCTCCATCCCTTAATAAAACATTGATTTGTGTCCAGACAGGTGGGGTTCTCTCTCTAATAGAATGTACATTGATTGAAGAGCCGGACGCAAGCGATGATGACCGTAAGTCACATTCTGTCACTTAGAATCCCAAGAAAATAAGTAAGGTTCATGGTTGGTCTCCCTCTATAGGTAAGAAGAGCTACTTACAGAGACAGGAGAGACCTGGAGGATAACCCCCCCGGATTCATTTCTACAGGAGGACTTCAAAGAATTCTGGGAAATGGACTTAGGGGATAGTGGCAGTTTTCCACAATATTTTGAAGTCCTTTTGTCTTTGAGAAGTCTGTCAGACAACTGAATCCATGAGCCAAAATCCCAACCAACTTTGCATGGGGACATTTTTGCTCCATCTCATGATAAGGTCTTTTCAGTGTACATTGATGTGTTCTGGAATTCTGTAGCCTATGTCCACTCAAAATAAATAAATAATACACCAACGAGGCCATCAGAAAGAGCTATGGATCCTCGTCATGAATAGCCTATTTGACCTTCGTTTCCTCCTCTGCTTATGAGCTTCCGGAGGCCTTCCCCATGCTCAGAAGGGAGATATTGCTGAGATGAGGTTCTATACTTGAATGTACCTGGATTGTATCAGTAGAATTGTGTGAAAACAGCTATCACTTACGTTCTCACATCTAGTTGTTTGATTTTTCATGTGTTACAGCCAAAGGTTCTGGGCAAGTGTTTGGCCACCTGGATTTTAAAATAGTGGTGGAGCCTCTGCATGCTGCCCCCTTCACTGTGGTCTTGTTAGCACCTTCACGCCAGGAGAAAGCAGCTTGGACAAGTGACATAAGCCAGGTAAGCAAATGATCTATCCATCTATCCACACATGTATATGTAAATTTTATATAATATATAAAGATATACACAGATTATATATTTATATATTTAAACTTGACAGCATGAATTCTAGGAAGGGTTTTTAGGATCATTTCATTTTTTATAAAAACACAACATCTGGTTACTGCCATCCCTCCCATCACTTATATATTTCGTTATTCTTTGTTTTTATTCTTTAGGTTAAATTTTACATGAAATATATAGTTAACTGCTCTTAAATCCTGGGCATTTTTGTACCAGCTGCAGAGGTAATGGCCTGTGTGTTAAAATTGCTCCATTAGTAATATATTCACCCATGACCTTACTACATTGTTTTGCTTATTTGTTTCTGACAAAAAGAAGATGGTAAGAAATGTAAGGTTCAAAAACAGCTAATGAAGGCTGTGTTAAGAAATCATGAATCAAGAAATCAAATCAGAAATAATACTTGTATGGAATTTTTGAACAAGTTCCAGTAGTTTGTGTAGTGAAGAATTAAGGAATTGATTTGCTTGTGTTTCCTTGCTCAACAATACCTACCTAGAAAATTGCTCTAGCCAATGAGAGGATTTGAGTAAGTGTCTCAATTGGTCATGATCGCACTTAAGTCGTTCTTGAATGTAAGCCCTACTGGATTTGGCTCCAGTGACACTTTGTAGGGAAAGTGTTCAAAGAAGGCTTGATCAGTATCTTCAAAGCTGTTAACCCAAGGATGGTTGGAACAAGGGGAGAAGGCTTATACTCTACGTTTCTGTGTTTTCTTTCTTCTGGAAATAATTTGTAATGTATTTATAAGAGTTAGGTAAAAATATGAATGGTTCCAAAATTCTTCATATGCATGGATTTATTTTATTTTGTTTTTGTACTGGCGTGACTGAATGCTCAGTATAAGAAGGTAGAGTGTCTGCCCTCCTTGGGCTTCCCACTGTGGGGAGAAGGGGAATCAAACTCAGAATCCGCCGGAGGCTGATTCCTAAGAGGCATACATGTCTCCACCTTCTTTTCCACAGTCAGCCTTCTAACACCAGCCAGCTCTCCCATGGCGTTCTCTACTTCTGACTGGGCTTCATAATCCCTCCTTTCCCATTATTTAAATAGGTACATCTTTAAGGAAATTTATTAATGCACCTGTGGTGTTGTATTCTGTATCAATTAATATTTTATCTTCCTGTTTGTAATACATTGCTTACCTGATGAAACTCTGGATCATTTGTTGATGTGACAAACATTTGATGACCCCTGCTCTCAGAGAAATGGGTAGGCTAATGGGAAGTAGAGGAAGGGGACAACTTAATGTAATGAAGTGTTATAGGTCTTGAGAAACCAATGTAAGTTGTAACTGGGGCCTCTAAGCCGGAGTTGTTAAGTTTTGGGTGACGTTCTGTGTGCTGGTTCGAGAAAGCTCCCTGGGATTCAGGAATGGTTCTTTAAAGAACGGTTTCCAGTGCTTTGTCAGTCTTAAGCATACACATGAGTTTTTCTCTGTACTTAGACTACACCCGGAGGCAGTTGTTATGGCTCATATTTTGCTTAGCCAAAAATTACAGTAGATTATATCTGCAACTGAATCAGAAAAGATATTAACAAAATTTTCTATCTTTCTGAGTGATGATGATATCACTCTGTGAAATCATTATGTTCAGTAGAGCCTTGGCATATTTTGAAACTTTTGGTTTTATTCATTCAGCAAAGATGGTATGCAAGATGTGCTAGGCACCATCCTGGCATCTAGGATACATCACTAACATTAAAGGCAACGTCCACAACAAAACTCCCTTAACCCTGTACAATTTGCATTTTAGTGTGATAAAAATAATAAAGGTGATAGATAAGCACATATGTTTTAGGTTAGTCACTCTTTTAAGGACTACTTTGACTACATGATTGGATTTAGACTATGAATGGAGAGCAGGCGGAAGAGCAGTCAGGCAAGATAGAAGGTTATTGCAGTAATTGAGGCAAGACAAGGTTCAGATCAGCGTGACTTGATTTGGACGTAAAGATTTAATAAAAGTAGAGCCAGCAGGGCTTTATACTAGACTAGATACAATATGTGAGCAACAAAGAAGGGTTATAGGACCCTCCAACGTTTTTTGGCTTAAGCGGCTGGAAGACCGGAACTGTCGTTAACTGAGATGGGGAAATCTGCTGAGGAAAGAACGGGTGGGGTGGAAATCAGAAGTTTTGATATGTTGAATTAGGTAGTCTATTAGACATGGGAGTGTGGCTGTTAAATAAGTAGTGGGCCATCGACCCAAGATTTAGGAAAGAGTCTAGGTGGGAAGCTGGAATTCATCGACATGGTATTTTAGGCTGCAGACTGCCAAGGTCACCATGGAGTAAGAGTAAACACAAACAGGAAGATGGCCACAAAATAAGTGAGGAGCCAGGGAAAGGAGCAAGAACAGCAGAGGAACTGGCCGGGAGTGAAGAGGGCTAGGAAAGAGGGCGTGGCGTTAGGAAACCAAGGGACCAGTGCGAGGACTGAGCAGAGAGTGAGTCTGTGTTGGCTGAGCTGAAGGCTGAGTCCGACGGCGAGCTTTCGTAGAGACTTTATTTCCTGCTGTGGAGTTTGAAAACCAGGTGGTAGGGGCAGAGTGCGTCACGACTGACGAGGCCTAATCTGCTGCCCGACAACCTTCATCTTACCTGCCTTTGTTCTCTGCTTAACATTCAAATTTACGAGGGCTCTGAGATGCTAGTTACATTCATACAAAGTACAGATTATGAAGAAGCAATCGGCTGTCCACTTCTGAGGAATTGACCGCGGGAAGCCTAATGAGGAGCAGAACCTTGCCAGATAGAGTGGAAGATCCGCCCCTCCGACGGGAAGGTACTGAAGCAGGACTAAGGAAGGCTTGCATTCTCAAAGTCAAATCTACCGTAAAGCTATGGTGACGTAAAGCTTGGGGGGGCCTTCATTTACTGATGGGGCGTGACTCAAAATGCAAAGAAACTGATAGGAACTGGAACACAGGGAATCCAGGACGGATGATCCTTCAGGACCAGGGGTGTGAGTGGTGATACTGGGAGGGTGGAGGTTGGGTGGGGTGGAAAGGGGGAACCGATTACAAGGATCCACGTATAACCTCCTTCCTGAGAGATGGACAACAGAAAAGTGGGTTAAGGGAGACGTCGGACAGTGTGAGATAATGACAAAATAATAATAATTTATAAATTATCAAGGGTTCATGAGGGAGGGGAAAAAAGAATGACGAGCTGATACGAAGGGCTCAAGCAGAAAGCAAATGTTTTGAGAATGATGATGGCAACAAATGTACAAATGTGCTTGACACAATGGATGAATGTATAGATTGTGATAAGAGTTGTACAAGCCCCCAATAAAATGAAAAGAAAAAAAAAGTGTATTGTCCCAACCTGGCCGATAAACACATGTGGGGTTAATTGAAGGGCAGAGAGATAAATGTCTTGGTGAGCCTCGCCTTTCTAGTTCTCGGGTCTCTTGTTTTGTGATGGTCGGACCAGGGTGCAGCCGCCTTAGCCAGTTCCCTGTTTCGGCTGGTAAGGCTCACTTCCTGCAAGACATCCCTGAGGAGAAGCCACATGGACCTACCCTGAGACAACCCTGGGTGCTGGAGCAACTGAGAAGCTTACACATTCACTGATTTGACTTCCCTCCTGCAGTCGGCATCATTGTGTATGTTTTGTGAGATGGAGGAGGACTTTGTAGATTGGTGTCGGACATATGGGCTAATGTTGGACTGGTGGGCTTGGGCAGCACTGGGTTGGGATGTTTTCTTGATGTGCACTTACCCTTTATATAAAACACTCTCGTATACATGAGTTTCTGTGGATTTGTTTCTCTAAAGTACCCAGACTGACACAGAAGCCAAAGTACAATCTAGAGTATGTCCCGCCTGCTCCTTGAGAGCAGCTTAAGAATAGATTCGATAGATTGAATGCTAATGACAGATGACCCGGAAGCTGTGGTCCGGCACTAAGAACATTATCCACGAAGGAAGCCAAAGGTCACGAAGAAGACAAGAAAGAAAGAGAGAAAGAGGTTGATGTCAAAAGCGACTCCCAAACTTGGCCTGTGAAGCTGAACATGGAGTAGCGAACGCACGTCCAGAAAGGATGATGTAAAGGAGCTGAACAGAAAATCTCAAAGGGCAGCTCAAGAAGATAAAGTATGATAAAGAAGTGTGCAAGGATCTAGAGTTAGAAAGCCAAAAAAAAAGAGATCACACTCAGGCTATCTTTAACTGAGGGAACGGAAGGGGAAAAAATCCAACCTCAAGTTGCAGTATTTTAAAAATCAATATCAAAATATTGAATGATGCAGGAAGTATTTTTTTTAAAGATGAAAGGATTACACAGAGTCACTGTAACAAAAAGTACATCCAGCCATTTTAAGAACTAATGTGATCAAGCACCAATGATACCGAAAGAAGTCTAAGCTGTCCTGAGCTTTAGCAAAAAAAAAAAAAAATCCAGGAATTGACGGTTGAAGTATTTCAAGACGCTGAGGAAGCACTGGAAGCACACGCTAGTTTGTGCCAAGAAATGTCGAAGACTGCTTAAGACTGGCCAACAGACTGAAAGGGATTCATGTTTGACCTGACAGGATACAGAAATTATGGAAAAATATCACTCTTAGCACATGCAGGTAAATGTTTGCAGAAGATAATTTAAAAACGACTGTAGCAGTACATCTCTAGGGAGCTGCCACGAATTCAAACCTGATTCAGAAGAGAAGGTGGGACAATATAATGGTTGGGGTTGGATGGATCTTCTCTGAAAGCAGAAACTATGAGAAAGATGTTTTCTTGTGTTTTATTGACTGTGCAAAGACATTTGATTACGTGGATCACAGTGAGCTGTGGATAGCATTAAGAAGAATGAAAATTCTAGAATTCATTGTGCTCGTGCTTGCCCTGTTCGTGGACCAGGATTCCGTTGTTTGAACAGAACAAAGGAATACTACGTGGTTTCAAATCAGAAAGGTATTCGTTAGG